AAGCTCCATTAACTCCACCTTCATGGTCTTTGTTAGTCCCAACTATATTTGCTTTTTGCAAATTCAATTTTTGAATAAAAGGAACTTTTTTTTTTTTTGAGAAATTGCAATTTCCTTCATTTTGACCCTTATCTATGCTAACTACACCAACACCTTTTGCTTAATAAGGATTTGATTTTTACTGGTTTTTTACTATATAAATTAGTATTTATATAAAAGTAATCCTGATCTCTATTCACCACACCTGAACTTGAACTAATTTTTAACAAAACCGCCTTCCATCTATGCTCATTAATATCAATAGCAACACCTATCAGTTGTCTAGCATTCTTTATTGTTGATGCAATGAAATCCACTTCGTCCATCTTCCTCAACACAAGTCCATTAGCTTAGAGCTTACAGCTAGTGGCTTAGAGAAAACCTCCATCTCAATTGTGAGATGCTCTAGTTGAACAAACAACCTTGTATTGGTATGACAACCTTTTTTTCAGTGATAACATTTTGATCCTTCAGCTTTGAAACTAGAGCCTTAACAAGCTCAACAATAGAACAGTCCACCTGAACGAATACCCATGCCTCCCTTGATATTGGTGCGATAACCTTCTTCATCTCAGTGCTAGCCTTTGGTCTTTCTCATCCAGCTTAATAATCACCTCGTTGTGTATAGAGCTACAAAACCTTATCAAGATTGTCCTCTGGACAAATCTTCTACGCTCCAAAGCATTCATGGTGGTTAGGTGGGTTGCGACAAGAAAAGCAAAAAGAAGATGACATGTTTGAAAAGAATGAAGGGATGCTAGGAGAAGGAAAGGGATGATGGGATGTGATGGGATGGGATGGGATGGGATGGATGAAATAATAAGAAAGAATCTGAGGTGTGAGAATGGCTGTGAGTGTTAGGCCATGTCAATGCATAAAATATAAGTCAAAATAAACAAAATGAATGGATAAGTAATTGGGCTTCGACCCATTTTATTGTTAGTCGAGAAATCAAAATATTTATTATGGGTGACTAAATAAGATCCACTATTTGGTTTAGCTAAGCTTAGTGAATTTGAGAGGATTTACTATTACTATAACAATTAATAACTTTTGCTAATAAAAAAACAACTAAGAACAAGTTTGTTTTTGGATATAAATTACACTAGTTAATAACAATTTGTTTTCTTTTTACTATAATATTGACTTGTATCCATGTGCCAAAATAATAATAATACGAATAATATTAACTTGCATCTAGAAAAAAAAATTGACTTGTCATTTCTATTTGGGTCAAAAACACTCGAGCTTTTCTATTTGAATTAAAACACTCAGAGTTTTTTGTTTAGACTAAAACACTCAGACTTTTTGTTTGGGTTAAAAGCACTTAGGTTTTTATATTTGTGTTAAAATTACTTAAGACTTTCTATTTAAGTTAAAAATACTTAGCCTTTTCTATTTGAGTTAAAAATACTCAAACAATTCTGTTTGGGTTTAAAACACTTGGACTTTTCACACATTTGGGTTAAAATACCCAAACTTCTTTGTTTAGATAAAAAACGCTTAGGTTTTTCTATTTGGGTTAAAATCACTTGACTTTCTTGTTTGAGTTAAAAATACATAGACTCTTCAACATGCCCGCCAATCCCCAGCCACCACCACCACCACCATTGCTTCTAACGTCACCTCCACTGCAATTGTCGTCTGCATCACCTCCATTGTTAGTGTTCTTAACTCCAATTTTTGAACCAAATGATGCCCCTTTTTTTTGAATGGCTTGCATATCCTTCATTTTAGCTCTTATGTGAGCTAGCTACAACAATACTTTCTTCTCAATAAGCACTTAGATCACAGCAGTTATGTGCTTAGTTAAGTCTAGCCTCAACATACAGTTTATCATGATATTTGTTAATCACTCTCATAGTAGAACCAATATCCTCGACAACTTTCTTCAAACCATGTTCCCTAATATAAATAACAATAGGCAGACTAAGCAATTGGGTAGCCATTTTTACTGTTGAAAAGGTAATATTTACCTCATCTGTTTTCCTCATAACTTGGCCCATCAACTTTAAAACCAAAGTCTCAACTTCAATGGTGAGGCGGTCTTCCCAAACAAACACCCATACTTCACCTTGTATTGGTATGACAACCTTTTTCATCTTAGTGATAACCTTCTAGTCCTTCAACTTTAAAACTAGAGCCTCAACAAGCTCAACAATAGGACAGTCCACCTGAACGAATACCCATGCCTCCTCTAGTACCAATGTGATGACCTTCTTCATCTCAACACTAGCCTTTTGGTCCTTCTCATCCAACTTAGTAATCACCTCGTGGCAGGCAGAGTTGCAAAACCTTGTCAAGATTGTCCTTTGGACAAATCTTCCACTCGCTAAAGCATTCATGGTGGTCAGGTGGGTTGCAATGAGAAAAGCAAAAAGAAGATGAGATGTTTGAAAAGAACGAAAGAATGCTAGGAGAAAGAAAGGGATGATGGGATGGGATGGGATTGGGATGAATGAAATAAAAAGAAATAAGCTGATATATAGTTGATAAGGCCTACTTGTTGATAGTTGGTAAGAATAGAATATTACAACCACAAATTCGCAATAAGCTATGGGGCAAATTGAATCCATCCAAGATCAATTGCTTTGGTTGGCACCTCTTCCTTAATGTTCTCCCATCAAAATCAAGCCCTTTAAAAATGGGCATCCAACTTGAAAAGGTAGAGACTATTTGCTACATTTGTAGAAGGGAGCTTGAGGATGATAACCATTTGTTTGTTCAATGTTCAAAGATTTAGAGACTATGGATGAGATGCTACAAATGGTGGGGGATTTCCCTCTCCCTCCCCAATATAATTTCTCTCCTATGTGAAGCTCACTGTATATGGATCAAAAAGCTGGTCAAATCTGATGTTTGGTTTTTGATTTTCTTAATGGTTACGTGGTTCATATGTTACACAAGGAATTCTATTATTCACAACTCACAACAATGGGATGAAGACAATTTTTTATTTAATTCAAAAGAGGACTTTTGTATGGATATGAGGGGAGATCTACTAAGATTGTTTTCCCCTTTTTTCCCCTAAATTATGTGTTCAAGAAATTACCAAGAGTTAGATTTGTCATTCATATTCTGTTTTTGGAATACCTTTATAGGTGTTCTTTTTGTAATGCATACTTTAGCATTTTTATATAGCTCATCATGGTCTTTATCCACGAGCCTTGTACTTGTGCCAATTTTTGTGCGAACTTTCTTCCACCCATGCTTGAGATCAGCAGCAACTCCTAATGGAAGAACTTTTTGAGCAAAAGTTGCTGGGGAGTCACTTCTCTTTATAGCTATGGGAACCTTTGGTTGTTAGCTCCAACCATTTGAGTGTTGTTGGCTTTGGCTTTGTGGGTGTTCTTAGCTCTAGCTATTTTTAAGTGTTGTTGGCTCCGGCAGATATAGTGACCTCAGTCTTCTATGCCTTAAAATACTCATTTCTAGTAAATGCAATAAAAAATTAAATTAAAAAAATGATACATATACATAACATATGTTGGGCTTAGTCGAAAATCAATGAATTTTTTGGGTAAAAATAAACTTGATACACTTGAGACTTGAACCCAAGCTCCTTTTTATGATGAATACGAGCTCCAACCACTAGAGCCACTTCAAATTCTTTTAGCCCAAAATGAATGAAACCCACTTTTTTATAATCTCTCTCGTTTCCTTTACATGCATATCTTTCCAACAACACAACTCCTTGTTAGAGCACTTTCTCTCTAAAACAACTAAGAAAAACCTCTCAACCACCACAAAAATAACTAGAATGAGATATAAAGCAAACTTCTTTGCAACTTGAGCATCTCATGTCAAGTCGAAGTTAACCCGTGTTACAGCACCATTATCAATAACACTCGAGTTTAAAATAAATAAATATAAAATTTTTCATTAATTTCACCATAAAACTTTAAAAATGAAATCAAAGGGCCGTGACATTTCCACGTCCATTTGGCCTTCGGCCTTGGAGGGCTCCTTTCCTCCAGCAATTTTTCCCTTTTTAATTCTCTAAACTTATTCTAAATTAACAAGTGAGCTCTTAAATTAAAAACAATAAAATAAGTTTTCTAATCCTTTGAATTATATAGATTAGTCCTCAGACCTCTTAAAAAATGTATATCAACTCTTATCATTAATGATTCATTACTTATGACACCATGTTATCTATTTTTTCCTTTATTTGTTCAGTAAAAATCCTATTAAAGTAACTCATATGGCGGCTCATTTATCTCTATTTAGTATTCCAAAGTTATGTGGACCATTTTAGTAAATTTTTCACATATTAAACAAATGAAACGTAAATTTTGTAATTTTATTTTAAAAAAAATAAAAAATTTATTACTTAATTTTTTAAACTCAAAAAAGTTACATCATTAGCTAAAAAAAAAAAAAATTTATTAGAAAGTACCATACCACAAAAGAGTACAAATTCTACTTACAATATTAGCTAAAAAAAAAAAAAACAAATTTTATATCTTACTAACATTTTTTTTCCAGATCTGCAAGCTTGTCATCTACTTTCAGCTCCTTGGAGGTAGTTTTGCCTTCTCCATGAGAATCCTAATGGCATTTTGATTTATCTTCTGTCACTTAATTAGCTGAAGACTTTATGATTTAATTGTTAGATGTATTTAATATTTTAAAATAATTAAAATTTAAATTATATTAATATTTATTAAAAACTTCTTGTCTCTTTACTTTTAAATTGTACCCCATTTATACTTAACTCTTCAAATCAACTGATAACCTACCAGTTTAAGATGCATATCCCTCCTCCATAAACAGGCTTGAGTCCGCCTTTGATAACTTGTTAAAAAAAAAATTGTACCCCATTTTAAAAAAAAAATCTTCGGTAAACTTAATTTGACATATTTTTTTAAAAATTATTTTAATCAGTCTCCGAAGTAGTTTAAAACCTCACGGCTTCACTTTGTTGACCTGTCTCGCAATGATTTGGCCAGCGAAGGTATCCCTACTTTTCCCTTTTGCTTTCGTGGTGAGGCTGACCCAAGTATTAAAGTGGAGAGCACATGGCCCTGCGGCCCCGAAGGCTTGAATTAAAATATTTGAGTAATCACGTACACATTTCGCAGAGAGATATCGCTTAGTCGGTAAAAAAAAATTGATTTTTTATATTATTAATTAAAATTTAATTTTTTAAAAAATTAATAAAAAATAATTTTTTATATTTCAATCTTGTGATTCAATTATCATAAACCTACTTATAAAGTGTATTTTCAATTTAATAATTAAAGTTTGAATTTTTTATTTTCAATCTATAATCCTGTTTAAAATATAAAAAATAAATTTTCTATAAACTTTTTAATTTTACTATAAATAATTTGTTTAATTAAATTAAAAAATTAATTTTATGATATATATATAAATTAATATAAAAACATCATAACAACTTATAAAAAAACGTGCACGCGATCGCTTGACCTTTCCCGTGTGAACTTTGAGTAGGATCCATCCAGGATCCACCCATGTTCATGCACCCTGGTAATAATCGATGTATATCCAAAGTTATCTTTTTTTTATTCAAGATTCATTATTTAAATATAGTCATATTTGGAGGACTGCTTTTTGATTTATTTTATGTTTTAATTCTTGGCCAATACTTTTTCCCATAATTAACAAATTTAGGATGAGGGATGAAAATTTAACTCTTAAGACAATAAAAGATGCACCAACAAATTGAATTAGAAAATTAAAACTCATAAATTATCAAAACCATGAGAAGTTAAGGAATATAATTTGTGGTGAAT